AAATTCCTTATATTGTTATCCCGCACCTCTTTCCAGCACTCCATCATTAAATATGTGAAAAAATCATAGTGGCATCTTTCATCCCTGTCTAATGTCTACTTTTACTGGGAAGCAACACCACTGTCTTCTATATATTCTAACCTGAGCTTCACTAACCACACAATTTTCTTTTATTGCTTTTGGTAACTTACCATATATTTCATAGTATTATAACATCTGCCAAACTGCCCCTGTCCATCCTATAATATCCCTTCCCTATCCATCCTATCATATCCCTTCCCTATCCATCCTGTCATATCCCTTCCCTGTCCATCCTATCATATCCCTTCCCTATCCATCCTGTCATATCCCTTCCCTATCCATTTTGTCATATCCCTTCCCTGTCCATCCTATCACATCCCTTCCCTATCCATCCTATCACATCCCTTCCCTATCCATCCTATCACATCCCTTCCCTGTCCATCCTATCATATCCTTCACTAAATTCATAAACGCAACAAATATTACCTTACCTTAAAAGCTTGGTCTAAACACTGAGCACTTAGTCTACACATTAAGCACTTGGTCTACACGTTAAGCACTTGGTCTACACATTAAGCACTTGGTCACACATAAACACTTGGTCACACATAAACACTTGGTCTACACATTAAACACTTGGTTTACACATTAAACACTTGGTCTACACATTAAACACTTGGTCTACACATTAAACACTTGGTCTACATATTAAACACTTGGTCTACACATTCCCTACCCTTCCTAAAGCCTTTTTTATAGTTCCTCTACAATCCTGCTTTCTGTCTTACTCTTAATTCTTTTAGTAATAACTCTACCGTATTCAACACTCTTTTATTTCCTTTTTCTGTACAGTCAGCGGAGTCTGCTATACACAGAGAAATTATGGATGCAGAAAAGACTGGTCGACTCATATACAGACCACGTCCGCAGTTCCCTGAACTTATAGACACTTTGGTGCGACGGGGCGACCACGTCATTTCTATCTCTCATAGTGGTTTCAGAACTATTACTGGTCACGATTTCACGAAAACAGGTATTCTTTAAACCACAATAATACAAATTATTTGAATACTTTATGGTAAATTTTATGTATAAGAAATAGATATAAATGAAATAGACAAAAGTATGCTTCAAGCAGGTAACACTAATAAATCTTGTGTACATCATGGTAATTCATATTCAAACCTCACTTCTCGGGACAAAGCTAAACTTTTGTACCAGGAAAATAAACTAAGAAGACGATGCCTTGTATCATGCGTTATTAAATTCACCAACACTATCAATTATATTTATTTTTTTGTGTTCCCATAACGCTTTCCTCAGTGGTATTCCTGCAGTGCACAAATCCACAAGCCAGTAGTTTCACTGACACCTTTGCACTTAAAAGTCCCATATATAATACTACTCCCAGGGCACTATATGAGCCATTGTGATTTTTATCTATTAAATTTGAAAATATAAGTTTAGTGAAACATAGTAGAAATACAAGACTTCACTGCATTTGCTTCCTTTTCAGTAATTAAATTTTATTATTGACTACTGGAGATTGCAACTGCATGTGTAGGATTAAAACAGAGGTTCTAACGTACAGATAACTGAGGAGATGGTGCAGATATATAGGCAGGCTCACTTTTTAGAGTTCTGTTCTGTTCTAGATTCGCTGGTATAATCGCCCAGCCCGGGCCTTTTCCAAGTGGTGGTCCGGCCTTGGCTCCCTGTCGAGGGAGTGTCTCAGACCAATGTCTGCCATAGGCGGAGGTACAAGTACCTCCTCGTCTTCTGTTATCAGCTATCCTCAGGCCTAGCCCCATTCCCCGCCCCCACGGGGCTCGAAGAGTGTGGCAGCTGCATACCAGCAGACAATGTTAGGAAGTGCAAAGGCAGCAAGCACTACAGGATCCTTTTGAAGTCATACCCCCAGCTTTGGGAATTAAGCCCGAGCGCTGGGGAACCTCAAGAATGCCTCTCGCTGTGTGTTGCTGCTGCTACTGCTTTACGTGTCCGCTGAACTCTACTTTTTAGAGTAGAGTTGAAATCTTCAGATGTAACAAAGACGTTTCAAAGCTTACTTGAAAAAAAAATATTTACTAACTTGTTACAGTTGTAATCATAATTTAAATTCAGCAACTAACCCAGAAACTGTCAATAAATCTTTACAGCTCATTTCGATCCGTTCTGCATTATTATTGGCATGGTTCGAAACGTCGTCTAAATATTTCTCTCCAATTTATAAATTAGTTTTGAATTATTCCAAATGGAACTGTGCCGTTGTTATTTTTGGATAGTAACCATTTTTATGTATGTATGATAACGACATACACAATATAACGACATACACAATATAACAGACATACACAATATAACGACATACAAAATATAACGACATACAAAATATAACGACATACACAATATAACGACATACAAAATATAACGACATACACAATATAACGACATACACAATATAACGACATACACAATATAACGACATACACAATATAACGACATACACAATATAACGACATACAAAATATAACGACATACAAAATATAACGACATACAAAATATAACGACATACAAAATATAACGACATACACAATATAACGACATACAAAATATAACGACATACACAATATAAAAGACATACACAATATAACGACATACAAAATATAACGACATACAAAATATAACGACATACAAAATATAACGACATACAAAATACTGAGAGGAATTAACAAGGTGGACAAAGACAGGATGTTCCAGAGATTGGACACAGTAACAAGGGGACACAGTTGGAAGTTGAAGACACAGATGAATCACAGGGATGTTAGGAAGTATTTCTTCAGCCACAGAGTAGTCAGTAAGTGGAATAGTTTGGGAAGCGATGTAGTGGAGGCAGGATCCATACATAGCTTTAAGCAGAGGTATGATAAAGCTCACGGTTCAGGGAGAGTGACTTAGTGGCGATCAGTGAAGAGGCGGGGCCAGGAGCTTGGAATTGACCCCTGCAACCTCAACTAGGTTAGTACACACACACACACACACACACACACACACACACACACACACACACACACACACACACACACACACACACACACACACACACACACACATACAACACACACACACACACACCATACACACACACTCATACACACACACACACACACACACCCATACATACAGAAAACCCCACACACACACACACACGCACACACATACACACACACACACACAAACAAAACACACACACACACACACACACACACACACACCCCAAACACACACAGCCACATGAGGAGGAAAACAACAGTCAAGGACCAGGTCATCAGGCTAAGGAAGGAAGGAGGAGAGACAACAAGAAATGACCGTGAAGTATGTGAGGAACTCAACAAGAGATTCAAAGAAGTGTTCACAGAGGAGACAGAAGGGGCTCCAGAAAGACGGAGAGGTGGGGCACACCACCAAGTGCTGGACACAGTGCACACAACCGAGGAAGAAGTGAAGAGGCTTCTGAGTGAGCTAGATACCTCAAAGGCAATGGGGCCAGATAACATGTCCCCATGAGTCCTGCGAGAGGGAGCAGAGGCGCTATGTGTACCCCTAACAACAATATTCAATACATCTATCGAAACAGGTAGATTGCCTGAGGCATAGAAGACAGCAAATGTAGTCCCAATCTTTAAAAAAGGAGACAGACATGAAGCACTAAACTACAGACCAGTGTCACTGACATGTATAGTATGCAAAGTCATGGAGAAGATTATCAGGAGAAGAGTGGTGGAACACCTAGAAAGGAATGATCTCATCAACAGCAGCCAACATGGTTTCAGGGACGGGAAATCCTGTGTCACAGACCTATTGGAGTTCTATGACATGGTGACAGCAGTATGACAAGAGAGAGAGGGGTGGGTGGATTGCATTTTCTTGGACTGCAAGAAGGCGTTTGACATAGTTCCACACAAGAGATTTGTGCAAAAACTGGAGGACCAAGCAGGGATAACAGGGAAGGCACTACAATGGATCAGCGAATACTTGTCAGGAAGACAGCAGCGAGTCACGGTACGTGACGAGGTGTCAGAGTGGGCACCTGTGACCAGCGGGGTCCCACAGGGGTCAGTCCTAGGACCAGTGCTGTTTCTGGTATTTGTGAACGACATGATGGAAGGAAAAGACTCCGAGGTGTCCCTGTTTGCAGATGACGTGAAGTTGATGAGAAGAATTCATTCGATCGAAGACCAGGCAGAACTACAAAGGGATCTGGACAGGCTGCAGACCTGGTCCAGCAATTGGCTCCTGGAGTTCAATCCCACGAAGTGCAAAGTCATGAAGATTGAGGAGGGGCAAAGAAGACCGCAGACGGAGTACAGTCTAGGGGGCCAGAGACTACAAACTTCACTCAAGGAAAAAGATCTTGGGGTGAATATAACACCAGGCACATCTCCTGAAGTGCACATCAGCCAAATAACGGCTGCAGCATATGGGTGCCTAGCAAACCTCAGAACAGCATTCCGACATCTTAATAAGGAATCGTTCAGGACCCTGAACATCGTGTACGTTAGGCCCATATTGGAGTATGCGGCACCAGTTTGGAACCCACACCTAGCCAAACACGTAAAGAAACTAGAGAAAGTGCAAAGGTTTGCAACAAGACTAGTCCTAGAGTTAAGAGGTATGTCCTATGGGGGGAGGTTAAGGGAAATCAATCTGACGACACTGGAGGACAGGAGAGATAGGGGGGACATGATAACGACTTACAAAATACTGAGAGGAATTGACAAGGTGGACAAAGACAGGATGTTCCAGAGACTGGACACAGCAACACGGGGACACAGTTGGAATCTGAAGACACAGGTGAATCAAAGGGATGTTAGGAAGTATTTCTTCAGCCACAGAGTAGTCAGGAAGTGGAATAGTTTGGGAAGCGATGTAGTGGAGGCAGGATCCATACATAGCTTTAAGCAGAGGTACGATAAAGCTCATTGTTCAGGGAGAGTGACCTAGTGGCGACCAGTGAAGAGACGGGGCCAGGAGCTTGGACTCGACCCCTGCAACCTCAACTAGGTGAGTACAACTAGGTGAGTACACACACACACACAGTGGAGACAGGAAGGACTCTGGGAAGACAACTCAGAGGAGGACACCAACAGGGAATACACAAACAAGTGGTGGATGACATACATACAACTGAGGAGGAGGTGAAGGAGCTAAGTAACCTTTATACCTCAAAGGCAATGGGACCGGACAACATCTCCCCGTGGGTCCTTAGAGAAGGAACAGAAATGCTGTGTGTGCATTAACCACAATCTGGGCAACTACCTGAGGTATGGAAGACGGCAAATGTAGTTCCCATTTTTAAAAAAGGTGACAGAAAAGAGGCACTAAACTACAGACCAGTATCACTGCCGTATATAGTATGCAAAGTCATGGAGAAGATTTTCAGGAGGAGAGTGGTGGAGGACCTGGAACGGAACAAGAGTATAAATGACAACCAGCACGGTTTCATGGAAGGCAAATCCTGTGTCACAAACCTTCTGGAGTTTTATGGTAAAGTAACAGAAGTAAGACACGAGAGAGAGGGGTGGGTTGATTGTATTATCTTGTGTGTGTGTGTGTGTGTGTGTGTGTGTGTGTGTGTGTGTGTGTGTGTGTGTGTGTGTGTGTGTGTGTGTGTATGTGTGTGTGTGCACATGTACAAATACAGAGGTTAAACAATATAATACGAGCACCTTGTTATGTAACATTTGTAAAAATTATGTAACATTTGTAAAAATTATTGGGAAATAAGTTTACTGAGTATACCATGTAAAGTGTATGGTAGGGTTATTACTGAAAGAATTAAAGGTAAGACAGAGAGTAGGATTGTAAATGAGCAAGGAGGCTTTAGAATGGGTAGGGGATATGTAGATCAAGTTTTACATTGAATTACATTAAATCATGGGGAATCAAATACAGAATGGGAGTGGACACAGTTAGTTTTTGCTTATGACACTGTGCTTTTGGGAGATTCTAAAAAGAAGTTGCATAGTGGACGAGTTTTGGAGGGTGTGTGAAGAAAGTTGACAGTGAAAATAGATAAAAGTAAGGTGATTAGGGTATCTAATGAGTTGGGTAAAGAAATATTGGGTATCAGATTAGAGAGAGAGAGACTATGTAAGAAGTGAATGTGTTCATATATTTGAGAGTAGACTTGTCAGCGGATTTGTTTATGAAGGACGAGGTTAACCATAGAACTGATGAAGGAAAAAAGGCAAGTGACGCATTGAGGTATATGTGGAGACAAACGTTATTCATGAAGGCAAAGAAGGGACTGTATAAGAGTATAGTGGTACCAACGCTCTTAAATGGACGTGAAGAACTTTTAATTTCGTTGTTTTGCAAATTCACCCAAATTCCTGTCTGAAGCCTACTTTTACTGGAAAATAATCTCCCTCTCTCCTTCATACCCTAACTAGAGCCTCACTATCCTCGTAAAAACCCTTAACTGCTTTCATTAACCTACCACCAATTCCAAACACTTGCAACATCTACCACATTGCTTCCTTATCCATCCTATCGTATGTCATTTCCAAATCTATAAATGCAGCAAAAACTTCCTTACCCTTATCTAAATACCGTTCATTTATGTGCTTCAATTAAAGCATTTGTTCTACACATCCCATTGGACTAATCTGACGTACACTTTTTTAGACATCTTTTCTCTGTCTTTTGTGAAGCAAAGAACAAAAAGGCACGATGCCATGATTAGGTTAATAAACAAATAACCCTCAAATAGGAGAGAGAAGATACTGACGACTTGTCGGTCCGACTTGGACCTTTCAAATGTGTCTTGTAAAGGGTCCAAATAAGACAAAAATGTTGTCATAGGCTTTTCTGTTTATGTGCAAGTTATTTGTGTTTTGTGAGGTCCTCCTTTAATCTTCTTCAAAACTTTTTGTATTCTTGTTTCATTTTCAGTTACTATCGCTGTCTCTTCCTTCATACTTATTTGTGTCGTAATGTTGAGTCATTTCTCATCTCTGATGCTATATCATTATAATCGTGTTTATGCTTCTTAAATGTATGTGTCATTGTAGGGGTAGAGAAAACTTTTTTTGCTTTGAAAACGTAAGATAATGTAATAATTTTTGTTGCAGGAAAATGTTCATTTTACGAGTTGAAAGATGAGTTTGTGCAGATAATGTACGCAATGATTAGTCAAAAGGACAGTCCACTTGTGCCAGCTTTAAATAAGAGGTAAATTAATATACTAGGTTATCTTTGCCTGTGATTACATTATTATATATCAATAAAAGAATAAATTTTATAGCCTTAAATAAATATCTTATTTTTTATGTATGTTACCCAATACATAATTCTGAGGGATCCATATAAGAATATATATGTGTTGCAGAAAATGAATATGGAATATTTTTCTCTTGGCAAATAGAGTGGTTGACTAATGTTAAAATTTAAATGAAGAGGAAATTTTAAAAGTCTAATTGGTGAAAAGTTTATTGTAGACGCGACGCAACAAGCACAACTCTTCTGTTGTAGTTTTATATAGTCATGGAAAATTAGTAATAAAAGACTCGCATGCATGCACGCAAACACACACGCAAACACACACGCACACACACAATACTGGATATAAAAATTAGTCCATTCATTCTCATCTTATTGCGATGTTCTTGATGGTAAATTTTCAGAATAACGTCGATGACAGAGGCTGGGTTGTTCTTCCAGTGGTTGATAGCTGAAGAACCCAACTCCACTGTGTGTGATCATGTTCCCACCAAGATCACTGTCAACGAGGCATCTCTCTCTCAGTAACCTCTGGGTAATTAATAATTTACATATTTTCAAAATGAAAATACATGTAAAAGGAGAAACTTTCGTTTTTCCTTTTGCGTCACCCCGCCTCGGTGGGATACTGCCTGTACGTTGAAAGACGGTATATATATATATATATATATATATATATATATATATATATATATATATATATATATATATGTATATAAATATATATATATATATATATATATATATATAATATATATATATATATATATATATATATATACATGAATGCATTATATATATAATAGTATTATATATATATATATATATTATATATATATATATATATATATATATATATATATATATTATATATATATATATATATATATATATATATATAACATATATATATATTATATATATATATATATATATATATATATATATATATATAATATATATATATATACATATATATATATATATATATATATATATATATATATATATAATATATATATATATAATATATATATATATATATATAATATATATATATATATATATATATATATATATATATATTCTTTCTTTCAACACACCGGCCGTATCCCACCGAGGCGGGGTGGCCCAAAAGGAAAACGAAAGTTTCTCCTTTTACATTTAGTAATATATACAGGAGAAAGGGTTACTAGCCCCTTGCTCCCGGCATTTTAGTCGCCTCTTACAACACGCATGACTTACAGAGGAAGAATTCTGTTCCACTTCCCCATGGAGATAAGAGGAAATAAACAAGAATAAGAACTAGAAAGAAAATAGAAGAAAACCCAGAGGGGTGTGTATATATATGCTTGTGCATGTATGTGTAGTGTGACCTATGTGTAAGTAGAAGTAGCAAGACATACCTGAAATCTTACATGTTCATGAGACAGAAAAAAGGACACCAGCAATCCTACCATCATGTAAAACAATTACAGGCTTTCGTTTTACACTCACTTGGCAGGACGGTAGTACCTCCCTGGGCGGTTGCTATCTACCAACCTACTACCTATGTATATATATATATATATATATATATATATAATATATATATATATATATACATATATATATAATATGTATGTATGTATGTATGTATGTGTGTGTGTGTGTGTGTGTGTGTGTGTGTGTGTGTGTTGTGTGTGTGTGTGTGTGTGTGTGTGTGTGTGTGTGTGTGTGTGTATGTGTGTACTCACCTAGTTGTACTCACCTATTTGTAGTTGCAGGGATCGAGTCAAAGCTCCTGTCCCCGCCTCTTCACTGACCGCTACTAGGTCCTCTCTGTGTCTGCTCCATCAGCTTTATCGTCTTAAAACTATGCATGGTTCCTGCCTCCACTACGTCACTAGCTAGGCTATTCCACTTCCTGACATCTCAATGACTAAGGAAATACTTCCTAACATCCCTTTGACTCATCTAAGTCTTCAGCTTCCAATTGTGAACCCTTGTTTCTGTGTCTCCTCTTTGGAGCATCCTGTCTTTGTCCACCTTGTCTATTCCACGCAGTATTTTGTTTGTCATTATCATGTCTTCCCTAACCCTCCTGTCTTCTAGTGCCGTTAGGGCAATTTCCTTTTCTTCGTAGGACATTCCCCCTTAGCTCTGGGTCCAATCTTGTTGCAAACCTTTGCATTTTCTCTGATTTCTTGACGTGCTTTACCAGGTGTGGGTTCCAAACTGGTGCTGCATACTCTAGTATGGGCCTGATGTACACGGTGTACAGAGTCTTGAACAATTTCTTACTCAGGTATCGGAACGGTATTCTCAGGTTTGCTAGGCGCCCATATGCTGCATCAGTTATCTGGTTGATGTGCGCCTCAGGAGATGTGCTCGGTATTATACTCACCCTAAGATCCTTTTCCTTGAGTGAGATTTGCAGTCTTTGTCCACCTAGCCTATACTCTGTCTGCGGTCTTCTTGCCCTTCCCCGATGTTCATGACTTTGCATTTGGCGGGGTTAAATTCAAGTAGCCAGTTGCTGGACCAAGTTTCCAGCCTGTCCAAATCTTTTAGTAGTCCTGCCTGATCCTCGGCCGATTTAGTTCTTCTTATAACCTTTACGTCATCTGCAAACAGGGACACTTCTGAGTCTCTCCATTCTGTCATGTCATTCACGTATACCAAATAATAGCACTGGTACTAGGACTGTCACAGT